TATATTTTTATTATATTTTTATTATATTTTTATTATATTTTTATTATATTTTTATTATATTTTTATTATATTTTTATGAACAAATTTATATGTCGCATACTGCGATGTGCTTATACATCGCATATATTACATATTATAATTTAACAACTAAAATAAACTAGTTTTTTGTTTAGTTAGGGTTAGGATTAGGATTAAATGCAATAAATGGAAGATGATTTAGAGTGCAAAAGATAGTTGACAAGTGACTTTTGTCAAAACAAACATGCTACGTTACACCTGATATTGGAATTTTATTGGTCGATCATTACTATGCGATGTATAAGCACATCGCAGGGTTGTGACGCCTAATTAAGTCCTATTTTTATTATATTTTTATTATATTTTTATTAAATTTATGTCAGATTACACTTCAAGTCTACAGATCCTTTAGAATTGGCTAAAATTATAGTAGATCGTCTACAACAGGTATTCTGATTTCGGAGTGTTTGTTGGAGGCTAGAGAATCATACGCCAATGCAAGTGATATGGTTAATTATAGGTTCAGTGTGAAAGGACAAACTAATGATATGGTATTTTTGTGATAAAAAAAACCCATATCTCATAGCTGATAAAAGTGCATTTGATTATTATACATGTGGTTGACCATTTCGGCCACTTGGCAAATGTTCAAAGTAAAGTTATCAATAATTTGTAAATATGATAGAAATTAAGCTTCATATATGTTAAGCTAGATCCGCAAAACCTTATGCAAGCCCTTTTTGTATTTCGGCAAGACTTTTTGGTATTTCGGCAGACTCTGGAAGTTTCGGCTGTATATTAAGTACGGATTTTCGAAAATTCCAAAGTCTGCCGAAATACCAAAAGGGCTTGCATAAGGTTCTGCGGATTTGGTTTAATATATATGAAGTCTAATTTCTATCATATTTACAAATTATTGATAACTTTGCTTTGAACATTTGCCAAGTGGCCGAAATGGTCGAAACATTTCTGCCACATGTATATTGATTATTTATTACAAGCTATCCCTCCTACTAATACTTATTATTATTTTGGAGAGTTTATTGGTTGGTTTAATAATTGAGAAGCTAAATAATATGTATGATCATAGATTCAGTATGGCTGGACAGTCAAACGGAAGATGGTGAAACGAAGTGCATTTTTATGAAAGTATTTGCGTATAAGCTTAGATCTAGATAATTATTTTAAATAGGTACATTTTGTGAATGTATTATAGTATAAACCAAACCCAGATTTATATAATTATTTTAATTAAATACTAAATATCATATACTTGATTCTTTTAATTAAAATTTAATAGATCATATAATATTTATCGGTTGATGACTTGGAAAAATCATCTCTGATGTTTTGAATTTAAATACAATAACACCAAGTGCATGCTGCATGCATTTATATGTAGAATTAATTTAGGTACACCTTTAGGAATCAGATATAAATACACATTTAGAGTAATGTGTTTATAAAATAAATAAATAAGTAAAAGTTTGAGTTTTTTTTTTTTAGCTTATTTGTTGATATTGTGAGGTCCAATAACGTGACGTAAATACTCTGCCGGGACCTCACGTGAGACCGGGTACGACGATCAATTCCTCGATATAGATATTGTCGCGGGCTAATAGGGCGGATCCTAGGATGGAGCGAATGCGACGAATTGTCGCTCCAGAATCGTCGACGTCGCGTAACGTTACTCGAAAGCGAGACGAGGCGGATTCGATTTGGCAATGGCTAAGGCGGCTCTCGAGTAAATTACTGG